TTACTCGAACAAGAAGTCTTTTCGTAGGTATATCATAACGTTCGTTTCCTTCAAAACAACTATATATATATATATATATATTGAAACTATTATGAACTTTATATATACAGGATGAGTCAAAAGTTCTTAAATTGATAAAATTCCTAGACTTGTATTTTTTTAATTTAAACAAAATTACGAGATTCTAATTAATTGTTCAGACATTTACTTTATCTTTTATTAGAGTTTTCATCATTATCTTGTTTGGTCTACAAGTATATAAGAAATGAATATACTGATAGAAAGCTATAATAATTAAAGATTGGTTGAGATTTCTTATCGATTATCCATACCTCTATGTTTAAGTAATGTAAGCTTTAACAGAAAACAAAGACAATGGAATATATTTAACGTGCAACGACTCTAACCGATAAGGTATAAATATTTGTATGAATTATTGACGAGTCGGAGGACGAGGAAATATAGAGAAGTTAGTGTGTCGACCCGTTATAACCCCGAGGCTATCGGGCTTGGCCTACATCTTTACTGTTCATGGATGCGAGCATTGGGCGCACGGTGTTAACTTGAACAGAGCCAAACTGAAGGAACCATCTTCGATTTATTATGGAAAAGGTCACACGTTTCTAGATAAAAAGATTCTAGAAAGTTTTTTTTACGATTGTATCAAATTATTCGAAAACTTATTTGATTATATTTTCTACTATCGCATAGGCAAATAATCGATATTTATATTAAAATGCTTAAATATGATGCTTAATAATTACAATTACAATTCCTCCAACTTATTGAAATAATTTTAATAACAAATTCAGTCAAATTTCATAAAATTGGATATAGCTGTATTTAAAAGTCGTTTATTGTTAACGAATTATTTATTAATAACGTTGTTGAATGTTTCGAGAATTTATCAAGTGAAATTCATTTCTGCGACTCTTATCCGAATCGAATCTTATTCAATGAAGAATGCCAACTTTCTTCTCGATGCATACTATCGTTCTCTTACCTTCACGGATATACTCTTATCGCATGGTCTCAAGAAATTGCTGTAGTATACCAAATGTCGATTATTAATAACTATTTTGTTATTTATCGACTGATTTTTAAAGCTTCGGTAATATTTTCATTTTTATATTATATACTTTCAAATGTTATTTATATTTTTATATTGAGATTTTGTTATGTTTGATCAGGCTTATGAATTGTAATAATAATTTAAAAAATGAAAACAAATGAACTAGATTAAAATCTGTACGAGTTATCAGCAATTAATGAAATCCTTTATTGGTAGAGTTAAAGGCAAGTAAACTTTCGCTCAAAAAAGAAGGTCACTCTTAAATCCAATCCTGGTACAGGTTGATCGGCAACGAGAAACGATCACTGGATTCTTGAATTAGGTCAACGAATCTTGACATGACATGTTATACTAATAGAATCAATTTCAACGATATACGTTACAGTTTTTATCTATTCGAATATAATAATTTCAAAAAGTAAATCTCTGCGTTAGGTATACAATTTTGTATAATATTCTTAAACGAATCATTAGAAGTACAATATTTAATATTAAATATTTAATTGTAGACCATACGGTATATTAATATTGTATTTCAAAAATTAGAAATTCTACTTATAATGTAATATGTTCCAACAAGAATTGACGTATGCATGATTTATATGGTTGGAAATTTCTGATGTAATCCAGAATACTTTTATGGTAGTTTCGCACGCGTAAAATAGTCTCACAGTTAACCCCTTGCACGGAAAACCCATGGAGAAATCGCATGAATACACGTGTACATAATGTATATAGTATGACTTGTATATAAGGTGATATCGCCAAACGTCACAGCATTCTTCTATGATATACCGGGTGTGTCCCTGTTAACCTCGCTTCCATTAGCTAAGCTACGTCGAAGGAAAAGTAGGCGGAAGAAATCGTCAAGTTAAACGACTAATTTTCATTACATCGCTTGTTTACATTACTGTTGACAATGAGTTTAACATCGATCGCTCTAAGTGAGGAAAAGTTGTTTAAAACATCAAGAATTTCATGTCACGTTGTAAGCGTTTCATTATCTTTTAATGTTCTCTATGTCTTTTTTAATTTAACACCCTGCGTTATGAAGTCATCGTTCAAATAATTATACCTACTATTCTTTTTATAAATCTATTGAAACACTCCTGAAAATGACATTTCATTTAATTAACAAAATAAAACGATAGGAAATGTTTCAACAAATTCCTTTCTAATGATAAGTATAGACGTTTATACTTTCTATTTATATTGAACAAATTTATTTAATATTAAAAAATCATATATATATATATAATAATATCTTCACGCTACGTTAAATTGAGAATTTAAGAACCATTTAGTAGAGTCTTATTTTAAAGTTGACCAACAGAGCGATAGACCGTAAATATCTAGGAACCAATCTCGAGTATGCCCCGTGCACCTTAATTCTTTTTTTTTTTTATGTGTCTTGCATTTCCTTGCATTCTTCTTTTTTCTATTGTTTTTATTATGCACCTATGTAACTATTTTTGAATGCATATGTTCTACTTATGTGAGAAACAGAAGATATTTACAAATTAATTTATTCCTAGATTTTTAGTTATATGTATTACTATACTAATATACTATTATACTATAATATTTCTAGTAAACGTAATATGGAAGATAATATGAAAGAATATTATATTTGAATATGATAAATTGTATTCAAAAAAAGTCGTTTTAAATTTATTATTTTTGGACCTGAGAGAGAATCTTAGTAAGATATGTTATCTTTTTTTATTGTGTTTGCGGTCTTGTAGTATTTGCTATACGCTACACGTGCGGCTGAGGAATAAGTGGCAGGGTACAATCAGCTAAAACACGTCTTTGGTATGCGATGTTCTGCTCGTCTGGTTACAAATCGTATCCTCTCTCATTATCATGGTGACATTTATTGCGAAGTAGACAACAGAATACTTTGGATTGAAAAACACGAGACTTTCCTTAAGAATTTTTCACGATATTTGTCTCTTCGTATTCGCGAAAGTTAAAAACAGAACTTCATTTCACTCATGCCGCTATACACGTACAATTTTGTTGATTTTTTAAATGAGAATTAGATAGATCGTTTTAAAGAAATACAATTTAACAAGGGTTGAGATTGATTAAACTGTTGGTTATTTTTTTTATTTAGTTCCTGTTAAGTTACAATTCCCGGAGATTACGTCGCAAAGCGCGATGACTTAAGAGAAAAAGTAGAAAGTACTATAAAACTCAAGGAGACGTCGAACCAGGAATTGATCTCCTGTAAGATTTTTTCTATTTACTTGAACAACGTGAAATATTGATAGTCGTGCGATCATGAGGATATAAGAAAGAATCAAATTGTTTTGTGCGCGAAGTAAAGATATTATATTACGGAAATACAATATCAATATCAATGCGAAAGAAATTTCCTTTTTTTAAATTTAAGAGACAAGTTCAAACAGAAGGAAGAAGAAATCGATTAGGTTTTTTTAAATAATACTTCTTTATCCTTTAATTCCAAGACTTTAACAACTTTCAAGTTTAAAATCAAGTAAGTAATAGATAAAAGAGTACAGATACTTTCTACTATTATAATTTTCTATTCAAACTTGAAGTTTTTTTTGTAATTTTAACAATCAAAATAATTGTAAATGTATTAATATAGTTGAGAGAGTGTAAAAGTAGATATCAATTTGATGTAGTAGCATTACAAAGAGCATGAAACATTATGAATTCAGGTACACAAGCGGCAAGTACGAGAGAGAAAGTGTTCTGTCGTGAGAACTGGTAATATACTGACTACATTACTCTTACTACGTCATTAATTTTTAAACCGATCATTATGAGTAAAGTTTCTAGGAAAAACAAGTATAAAAGTATTAAAACGAAGTCAAATCAGTAGTCAAATGTACGTACTTTTTTTTTGTTCAAAAATATAATTGATAATATTCGTGTTTAAGGTTATAGCCACAATTTGACGCTGTAGTAACGATAATAAATGATATATCGTGTCGTTGTATTTGAAGTTAAAAGAAATAAATACAGGCTGGTTCAAAAGTATTTCTAGATGTGTAGTTTTACAATTTGAGAAAATAATTAGTCAATAAGGAGTATCTTCTTATTGATCGTTAAAATGATACATTTGATCAACTCTGTTATTTGTATCGAATTTAATGATCTACAAATTGTATATCCTTGATCGCAAGAAGCGTTTAATCAACGTACGACCTGATGTGATAGCAGGTCAAGTCTCGAACGCAACAGAGTTTCACCGCTACATCATCACCCTGCCTTACATAGCCCACACTTCCATTGGACCGCAAGTGTGATCCCGTTACAACGAGACTTATATACTGAATCGGTAACTCGCGTAATACAACCTGTATCGAACGGATATTACACTTGTGGAGATGTTTCTGCGAACATAGATCGCGTCAAATATAGCCGACAATATTATTTTATTATTAATTGCAAAAATATTCTTTATTTTATTTGATATAGTACAGGTAATCCTCTTATAATACGGTAGATAGGTTCTTAGAAAATGCCGTGTTGTGTGAAATCGTGTTACATGAGACCCACAGTTCATTATTCCTTCACGTCATTATTTTAAGGTAATTTGATTTGTAAATACATTTAATAAAATTATGTTATCCAGTTTTGTAAAAGTACAAAGTGTTGTACAAAGGTTTTCGCAATTTATGAATCATGTTATAGCGAAACCGTGTTATAGGATGCCGTGTTGTAGGTGGGTTACTTGTACACTTGTTTATTTAACGTATATAGCAAACCAGTTTCAACAATCTGTTAAATATTTCAAATTAGAATTTAGGTTGGCTAGGTGGTATTTCTTGAAAGTCACAATCAGTAAAACAAAACAAGTATATACCGAAGAAGAAATACGTCGACTGGTCAATCGCCTATCCATAGTTAGATTTTCTTCGTAAGCGTCTGGTAGAATCACTTATCCGTGAAGATGTCGCATCGAGTATCCGATCGACACAAATGTAGATATTGCGTTCTCTCGAACACAGAAAGGAGTCGGTCAAATAACAGTATGTCATGGCCTCCGAATGCCATCTTTGGTATCCCCGAAGTATGGAATTTCTCATCTTTCCTTCTCACAGTTACAAATGTCTATGGTCTTTCCCTGTCACCATTTGTGCAATTTTTTATCTTTTCAATCTATTTCCTATACTTGTAACACACATAATAACAGTACACAAATAATAATGTTTTTTTTTATAAATATCTAATTTAAAGATTTTTAACAATCAACATTGAGTTCTTCCGCAATTTCTCCTATATATAACGTGACCATAATTGGATAAAAGTTAACTAGAAAAAACTGCGTCAAATGTGATATAATAAAAATCCTAATTATTTTTTTGCCCTATATATACACTATAGATTATAATGTAATAATAATTTTATAAATAACTACATGTATATATATACATATATATATGTATATATGTATATATTATTTACAGATGGAAACTTTGGCAATGATCAAATTAGAGCCTCCAGAATAGAAGGAGACTTGCAGGGTGAGTTTGTTTTTAATTTCATTTTATTTACATTGAAAAAATATAAATATATGTATAATTATATTGACAATTTTCCGAATATATAAATATATACATAACATTGCGTTTAACATATTCTCGATGTTATTGTGAGGTTGATGTTAATTGTAAAAAACAACAAAAAAATTGTTTTCTTATATTATATAATATATACTTAATTCATATATGTTCTCGACTTGGTAACAAATGATTTCTCTATCCAAATCTGATGTCAAATATTTTCTTATATTTCTGATACTAATATATATATATATATGCTCTGAATATATATTCTGTTATACCGAAAGCAATGTTATGTCTAGTCACTTTATTTCTGCTTCAACCTTTGTCTCTACCTATTTTACTTTCTCCACATGATGAATATTGTATTTGTCATGTCTAAACTTTATACGTGCGTGTTGACGCGAGGTGCGGCCGTGTATATAAACCTTTGAACCGGAAAACATTTCTATATATCTCCATTTCATAATAATTAATACGCATAATTAGATTTAGTTAAAATAAGTATCTGTATAACTACTGTCGAATAGAAATAAGATAGACAAATAAAATATTATTTTTATATTAGTCATAAATAATACACATACAAATAAATATATATATACAAAACGTAAAGACTAAATTATAAATGTATTTTATATTTTGTCAAGTATTTTGATACATAAATTATTTTTTATAAATGAATCATCGAGATTGACTGATACGAGAGATCTGATTTATTTTATTTTACGATAAATTAAATAACACGAATAAAATTTCTTCAAAAGAAAAAAGAAAAGAAACGGCCGTATATAAAAACGAACATATGACGAAATTTATTACAACAATAAACTAACTTTCGGTCAATTTTCTGTCTTGCAAATCTGTCCTTTATTGAAATCTTTAATATGGTCAGGCTCTATGCACGAAATTCTAACGGCTATTATTTTCTTATTGTTATTTGGCACAAATGACTTCTTAACTATTTTTCCGAAGCTGTATATCGCTAAGAAACAGATCACTCTGTTATAAGCATATCACATTCTAAATTAAAGCTTGATTTGTTTGTTCTCTTGTATGTAATGATTCATTTTTTTTTCTTCTTATATTTTTCTCTAAATTCTACATAACACAAATTATACATAAATACAAACATTTAAATAATGATTAGAATGCTATACCAAATAAGTTATTTTCTATAGTTCTTATTCTCATTGTATCCCTTTCTTACTTCTTCAAGATAGCATTTTAACAATAAATCATATTGGATACATACAAATCAAGCTTAACAAAATGAGGAGCGATATTAACAATAAGTCGATACAGGTATTGTAGATTACAAAAGAAAGAAGCTGTTCTATTAAAATCGTCTATCTCTTTTTCTGTTTTTCTGTTACTGCTCCTGCCTGCTCCCCGCCTTCAACTATTCTCAACAACTGGATGCCGTCTGCCTCCAACGTCCGCCCGCATCTCCGTCTCTTCTCCGACGACCTACGTTGTAAAAACCTACGCGATAAATACATATAAACAACACCGGACGGATTTTACAAATGACAATGAAACTTCAATCACGGACATACAAAACTCAACAACAACAACAACAACATATTCTATTTTTTTTTCTTTTTCAATGGATCTAATCAACACTATCAATCAATCAATCAATCAATCAATCGATCGATCACCATGATGATAACATTGATCAAACGTCCACTGTACTTTGTTCATTTTTTCTTTCGACATTTCGAAACCTTGGACTCTCTTTCTCTCTTTCTCTCTCTCTCTCTCTCTCTCTCTCTCTCTCTCTCTCTCTCTCTCTCTCTCTCTCTTTTTCTTTTTTTCTCTCTTTCTCTTTTTATGTATATGTATGTATTATTGTATTTTCTCTTTGCTTGTTTTTTCCTAAATAACTTTGGGGGTTATTATAATCTGTCTTATATGGTGACGGGTATTATTCATTTTATTGACGTGTACACAATTATTCGACGGTCGGCATATATTCCCAACATTATTCCTATAAATTATTGATCCCGATTTATCGAAACGTGTTCCTTTTTATTATGAAACTAACGTTGTCTCAGGTGTGACTACTGTCCTTTTGGTCTCAGCCCGTCCCGGAAAATCCGTGCCTCCGGTAGGTCTCCTTACAAAAACTGCTCGTACTTTTGTACAAGATGGAGCAAGTACTGAATTTGCGACGCAAGTTCTTGGTACGACATTAGATAATGGACGCCTGTATGCGAGAATTTTGTCTACCTCAAGTAGAGTATTTTATGATAAAGAATCTTCGGTAGATCCTACTAGTCCATACGTCGTATACCCCTCGAGAACAATAGAATATGACTGGCAATCAAAAGTTGATTTGACCAATGCTCCGATTAAAGCCATCGAGGAAATAGAAATAAAAGATAAGAATAAAGATATAATAGGAAATCATTCAGATAACCAGCGTAGATCAAACGATAATAAGGAAACGACAATATTGGACGACTTAACCAGAGAGAATGATATATTTAGTAAAAGGGAATTAGGCTCTGAACTTCAAAGATTTAAACCGGTTAAAGTGAGGCCTGCTGATAATTTACCAACTTACACTGTCAAACAGGAATACATTTCCAATAATTATGATTTCTTTGAAAATGAACAACCGAAAACTAGGACGCGTCTTCCAAAAGTTTTTAAACCTACGGTAAAACCTACGCAGAGAAAGCTCGACAACAAGCCATTAGCTACTGTCACTTATCATGGATTTGCTGATTTTACTACTACAGTTGGCGATACTGTTATAGTGTTCTCTCCTAGTACCTCACCAGCTCCTGTTGGGCGTCCAGCTACCACGATTAAAGGTGATGCTACACTTAGACCCGACGATGGTGTAGCAGTTGTCAAAATTAGGCCTACCGTTGTCTCCGGGGATCACAAACCAACGGATTTACCCTTTACGAAATCTGACAAGCATACAGAAGCTAGTATAAATAATGAGACAGATGAATTATTGGATATTATCAATGGAGGTAATATTCAGCCAAGTGTTGTTGAAGAACCCGAAATCGAATCATCTTCTAGGTCTACCGATCCGTTATTGTTAATACCTGATATAGGAACAAATTCGATCAAACCCACGGGTCTTCTTAAAGTTATAGATTCCATGACATCTTCCGATGGTACTACCACTCGTTATAAGAGTCTTATTTATGGTACATACATTGGCACCAATTATGCCCAAGTTATTCATACTTCTTCTAACGTATACTTTTTCCCTAACACTGCTACGATAACGAATAATAATGACGAAGATACTACTGAAGAATATGAATATACTAATATAAATGACGATGAACAAGAACAAGATACGACCATCGAAATGGCTATTAGTACAACACCGCAAGTAATCACGACTAGCGAAGAAGCATCGCCAGAAATGAACGAATTAACGACTCCATTCAAAGACACCACCGACAGCGTCTTAACAACGTTAAAAGATATTTTAGAAAGTGCGAGAAAAGTTTTAGGAACAACTGACTCTGCATTGCCAACATTCGACGATGTGATACCTAACGATATTCTTTCTGGGGATCCTCAAGGACGTAGCATCAAAGGTGGATCATCTAAAAACGAATATGATCAAGCAAAAAATAATGTACAACAAGCAGATTCCGATGATGCGAAACAACAAATTACATTTGCAACGAAACTCCTTCCTTCCACTGTATACGAAACATTTACGTATTACACAACTTTCTTCATTCCTGATAGCAATGGCGGTACGACTACGTCGATAAAATCGCGAGAAGTGACATCTTCCGAAGTTACTTTCTTGACGGAATTAATTTCGCCAAGTTCAACCGAAAGCTTCATTTATCCTACTAAATCAGATACCTCGATAATATCGCAACAGATTACGAATTTGCAATCACAATTTGATCAGGAACAAACTACAAAACAAGACGAAGAGATAGAATTAATATTTAAAACGTTATATACAACGTATACATACTTGACAACATTTTTCCAAAAAGATACGTCAAGTATTTCTAGTAGAGAGGTAGTTGAAACTAATGTCATTACGCAAACTGTTGGACCCAATGGTGTGTCAGCTGCAGTAGCTAGTCTTTTTGAAAAAGAGGAGCCTATCCTAATAAGTCCCACCGAGATATCACAGACTATCTTGCCATCAATAATTTCTCAACAAGGTGGAGAAGATTTATCAACAACTCCAGAGTATTCAGAGTTTACAGGAAAGGAAATTACAGAGGGTAGTTTGACCACTGTTCTGGATGACGAAACTACGATCAGTGAACATATTAGTACCGTACCAACAGTGTCCGAAGATGAATTTGAAGATACTGAAAAGGAAATAACTCAACTTGAAGCCAGTCCAATTTCATCAAATGGTATATCAACTGGTATAATGAAACATCAGTTGAAGACCTATTATACAACGTACACATATTTTACAACCACTTTTGTCGATGATGAAACGGAAATAGAAACGAGGACGGAAGTATTCACCAACGTTGTGACAGAAACTATTCAATCTAGCCCAACAATTACTGTTTCGCAAGAATCCACATCGTCTACGTTGCAACCTCAGACTACTCCTAAACCAGCAGTTCCACCAGAAATCTTAGCATATTTGGAAGCACTTCAAAGACAGAAATCTCAAGAGGAAGCTTTCTTATTGGCAAAAAAAGTTCAAGCGGAAGCTAATTCTCCGGAACAAGTTAACAGTCCAAGTGAGACTACATTGATCACTGAAGCGATCACCGAAGATTTCACTGAAATTCCAACGACATTGGAACAACAATCTTCTACTGAAAATATATTTCGTGATATTGAAATCAATGGACAAGTGACACCAAATCCTCCTATAAATGGTGAAGTTTTAGGATCAATGATCACGGATGTTCTTTCATCTTCCAGTTCTGGTGGTGGTACTGTTTTGGATGTTATGGATAAAAGAAATGCCGTGCCAGAAGATCAAGAATTATCAGAGTCAAATCACCAGGACGTTGAACCTCCACCGACGCTCCTACTGCAAACTAGTTACACAACATTCACTTATTTTACGACAATGTATAAAGGTGATTCGTCTAATGTTGCCAGTCGTCTGGAAACGGTAACGAACGTTGTCACCGAAACTATAAGACCAACGGCTGCGTTACCTGCGGAGTCAAGTACATTACCAGTTACTTATTTCACAACCTTTACGTATTGGACAACATTCTACAAAGGTGGCGATACCCTGACAACGAGTCGTGAAGAAACAGTTAGTACAGTTGTAACTCCAGATGTCGCAGCTACGCCAACTATACAATTGGAAATGATAATGACATATAGACCAGATTCAACATCATCGTCATCGTTGATCGAAGAACAATTGTTTAGTGACACTAAAGCTAAGATAACAGCTGACAATGAAGTTACACCGTCAGACATTCCACTGCTTGAACAATCTCTTTCAGAAGCAACTACAACTACTAAAGAAAGCAACGATGATATAATAACTGAAGACACCTCGATCATTAGCTTAGAACCAACAACGTTCTATACTACATATACATACTTTACAACAACGTACGCAGGTAACGAGACTATTTTAAATAGTAGATTAGAAACTGTAACTAGTGTCTTCAAACCAAATACTACGGAACCAAAAGCAACTGGACGCGCAATTGGTAATGGCATATATCCTGAAGTTCAAGGATTAGAAATAGAAAGTAAATCTATAGCACCATCGAAGGCCGTAGAAATTCCTAAAACAGGATTACTATCCACTATTCGTTCTAGTAAAATTCAAAATGATGTTACAACGCATTATATGACCGATGTATATGGTACCGTCATTGATGGTCTTTATGCACAAGTTATGGAAAGTTCAACTAGTTTAGAAACATCTTCGGTTTTAGCTACTCCTGTACTTCCTACAGGAGTACTGTCCTTAAACAAAGGTAGCGTGATAGATGCAGATGGTATAACTACTGTTTATTTTACAACCAAGCAGATTGGTACTTTAATCGATGGTGTATATGCAAAAGTTATCGAAAACAGTTCTAGTACCAAAATTGACGAGACCAAAAAGCAAACTATTTCATCGACCCCCAAACACAGAACCGGATTGGTGCGATTGATCGAAGGTCAAATTGAAAATGATGGCATCACGACCTATTATCAATCCAAAGTTATTGGCACTAGTATCGAAGGCAGATATGCACAAATAATTGAAAGCACTTCCAGTTTTGCATCTACCGCAGCAACTTTAAGTATTGCACCAACGTCAACGTTACTACCAAGTACTTCGATAGGAATCGTTGAAATATCGCCATCACCTGCCGTGATTCAATCATCTTTATCGGAAGATCCTACAACGGAATCTCCGGGACAGAACGAGGATTCTGAGGAAAATGAAGAGAATGAAGAAGAGGATGATCAACAAGAGGACGATCGAAGTTCAAGGAAAAAGTCACGATTAACATTCTCATCGAGGAAAAAATCATTTACTCCAGTAATTATACCATTTGCATCTAGAAATCGACCAACATTTAACCCAAAACGTAAAGGGGCACAAGGTGCAACAACTATTACCAGAACAGATATAACACCTACCATAACTGCAACGTTAGCTGGTAAAGGTAATAGATTCGCATCGTCAAGAGGACGCGTTAGTTCACCTATCGGGCCATATTCTTCTACGGTGTCACCGTCCAGTTCGAGAAGATTTTCTGGAAGAAGAAATACGGCATCAGCAACGAGTTCTATCAATTCGGCAACAGTAGGAGCTCGAGGTAGAGGAGCATCTAGAATATCACCGTCGTCTATAGGAAATAGACGGGCACCTGCTACTATTAGAGGTTCTTCAAGAGGTTCACAACGTGGCTCAAGTTCCATATATCCAGGAGCATCGTCCAGATACAGACCTGGTATACGAGCATCATCTACTTTACTACGAGGACAATCGACTATCAGGCAAGACGATCAAGATAATGATGCCAATGAATTCACCACGACTACTTTAGTGACAGAAGAAACGCCTTATACCCAGGAGACCGATGATGGGGAAACGGTTACTGTACCTCTTCAAACAACAACTGAATCTTCTCGAAGATCTACGAATCCACTTTTAAGATTCCGTAGACCGATTAACTTTAATAGTGGTTCGTCAAGAGCAAGCACAACTCCGAAGCCCACCAATCGAAACAACAAATCCAACTCGCCTAGCATACCAAATCGAAACGTTGGCTCTCGATTAAATAATAGATCTACTCCGCCAACGCCGACTAGACCTCGTCAAACAAATGCAGGTTTCTTTCCGCCTCGTGGATATTTTAGCAGGAAACAGGAATCGATTGTAGAAGATCAGATCGAAGATACTGATCACGAAGAAGAGGAAGATATCGAAGAAGATCCAGTTGAAGAAATTGCGGATAACGATTATGAAGGTTCAGAACATGAAGATAAAACTACGGCTACAAATATCAATGCCAATCGTCGTTTTGGTAAAACAACTGGTCCAGTTGCACAAATCAGACCATTTGGGTTATACGGAAGAGGAAAGAGGGTTCGTCGGCAGGCAAATCAATTGAGATCATTAACCAGTCGTTTTCGAAAATCCAAGCCGATAGCAACCAAAACCGATGAAATGATCGACGTTGTTGGTAGTCCATCTAATGTTGAAGATACAACTAAAGCATCGATAAAACCAGTTGCTCGATACAGTGCTCGTACTAGAACTTCAACAGGTCCACGACTTAATCTGAAGTCATCAAATAATCAAGAAAAATCGCAAATGGACACGACGGAAACGTCTGCGAGTCAATCAAATAAAGCTACTAATGGAAGAACGAAACAAATTACTAATAGCAACAGCAGAACTACATCCTCGAGGATAAAACCTTCCCCGACGTCAGGCAATAGTAGACAATTTACTCTGAGGGAGAAAGATTCGTTACAAACTAGATCTAGTTACAAGTCGAGGTCGCAATCCTCGGGAGCTAGAACTACCAGTAGAACAACGAACAAAGCAACAGATAATGTCAAAGCAAGACCGCCAAGACTGAGAACTAATTCTGGGAAAAGTCAAGTGGAATCGATTAATAGTTCGCGTAGAGTTTCTCCTTCGCGTGCTACTTCCAGAACTCCAAATAGAAACGGAAGTACCAGAAGAACTTCGCAAAAGGGAAGAACTTCTCACGAAGACATTAGAGAATCTCCAATGATTTATCCAGATTTTGATGGAACCATAACAGTAACTCATTATGTACCAACGGAAGTAACCATACCTGTAGTAAATAATGGTGTAACCGAGCAGCGCAATATTATAACGGCTCACCCCAGTACTGAAGTCCTTGGTCCTTCTCAGTACAGCACTGTTACAGGTGGCGATGGTCGACCACTGGTAGTTATCGTCAGCGAAGCTACAGGTATTAATAGTCAAGGTCAAACCGAGATTACACGATTTTTGCTTCACGAAACGCCTACAACGCGCGTTTCTCATACACTTACCACTTTTGGTGGTCGGAGAGCTTCACAATCAGTGATAGTACCTACAACAGTTTATTCAGTTGAAAATGTAGTTTCTACAATACGACCTTCTCTGCCTACAAATCCACCTCTTGCGAATATCCTTTTATCACAATTGCTTCTGGGTCAGCTAAATCCACAGAACCAATTACTACAGCCTCAAGGTACACCCACTACGCAATATAACACGCGTACCACTACCTACGTCACTACGATTACGAAACATCAAAGCACCGTCATTCCACTTACCTTCCGCGGTAAAGAGATCTTAACTACTTTAATAGACTCCTCAAGCGACATCGTAACCGCAACGGAATTTATCACGGACACTGTTGTAGTCACACCAACGGCAACTTTACCAGCTGCGAATTTGAACTCTTTACTCCTGTTGCTTCAACAACCCCAACAACAAATACAACCCAATTCAAATCCTTTGTTGGATCCCTTGTTTGCCGCTGCTCCGTTGTTAACGCAAAGTAATACTTTACCGGGTGAAGTTGAAAGGCGACATCAACCGGCAGATTCGGATTATAAACCAGACAGCTATGAATATTCGGACGAAGATCTAGAGGAATATGAAAAACCATCGCGAGTTCGAGGTGGACGGGGTAGGTCTCATGATAGAAGAGAAGATCAATCAGTTACTTCGAAAGCTGAATCTAGCGTGGTGACGCTTTATGTCTCTGGCCGAAGACCTGGAGAATTTAGCACCGTATTGAGTACTGTTAAAATTGGAGAACAAGCAACAGCATCCAGAAGACGAAGGAATATAAATAGATCTGTTAAAGTACAACCATCGATTCCACCGTCCTTACACGCGGGCTCAGAAACATATGCTATTCTGACAGGAAGCGAAGATACCGTCGACGCACATACGCCAACGCAAAGCCTTGAAAGTGTAGTAGGTGACGTGGGACGGCATATTCACACATACACTCATACCTAATTCTTCCTATTATAGAAATCCTTTCTTTCTCCTTATCCTTTGTCCTCTTTTCACTCATTGGTTCATTACAATCTTTTCCAAATACTCGTAGTTGGCGATCTTTCTAGAAATTTACTTTATTTGGACAATGGTTTGTTGTTCAAATCAATGCATTTAACCAAATATAATGGAAAGGAAAAGCAATATTGAATATGTCAGATATAATTCTGATATCTATTCGAATGATCAGCATTGCTTTTCAATATTGTTATTATAAAGAAAGAGATCCGTGTTAGCGAAAGCTCGCAGCTTCGAAAAGACTAGAACCATTGAATTGAATTAATTATCCGGTTTCCATCACGTATATTTTCTTTTAATCCTTATTAAATATTTTCTTCCTTTTCTCCCCCCCCCTCGTTCTCCCTTCCTCTCTTCCTCTCTCTCTCTCTCTCTCTCTTTCTCTATTAAAATTCCTATTTAACCATTATCTCATATTTCCTTCTACTACCACAATGCCTTTGATGCCACCGCCGCCGCACGCGCGCCCACACGACGACAACCTGGCCAGGTATAGCATGATCTTTTAGCATTTGTTGCAACCAAAAAAGCATGTTGTAAAAATAATACTATTCGAATATATTATATACTGCGCTTGAAAAAAAAAAAACAAAAAGTATAAATAAAATGACAAAATACTCTCAGACTCATCCTGATTCGTAATATTTGGCAAATATTATCTCTTTGAATTTGATTACTATCATCTGCTTATCCGTGGAGATTTTGAAATACGAGACAAATCTTGGGGCAAGTTTAACAAATGCATAAACAAGTGAACAGAGAAGAATGCAACATTTCAGGGGAGCAACATAACGGCCTAAACGACAACATTAATCCAGCTGAGGAAGAATATAGCAGATCGTTAAATGATGATAGCGCATATGTTGATAACGAAGAAAATCAGGCCTTTGATAGATCTGTCTCAGATGATACTGACGAATATCCCGAAATTAGACCACGTAAAAAAGTTAGAATTCGTATTCCCGTAATTCGAAGTAAAGTTCCAAAGAAGCATAAACTCACCGTGGTCAGACGTAGACCTTTAATACCATTAACTAGAAATGAACAAATTATACAAAATACTGTTCAAACGCCCAAAAGAATTGTCACGAGAGTTAGAGCATTAGGATTAGCACATACCAGACCCTCAATTATTGATGTAACTGATCTAGAAAATCTGACATCCGAGACTACACGTCACAAAATTACAATTACACGAAGAAGAAAACTCGAACCAACAGCGAGTACGGTGACACCGAAAAGAGTAAGAATTACTAGAAAAAAATTAGTTGCCGTGAGACCTATAGAACCAACGTCAACGTTAGCTATTATTACTACAGGTTTTTTTACTGCATCTTCAGACTATAGTGACGAATATGAAGACGAAGAAAATATAGAAGATATCGAAGATGAAAATCATCCTACTTCTACTCCTAGTCTTGAAGAAACACCTAATATAATTGAAAGTAAACCAGAAGAAGAAGAAGAATTCAGTGAATTTATATCATCAACATTAAGCGTAACATCGGTATACGAAATTATTGATGAAATGCCCGTAATAATTACAGACAATTTTTTCTTTCCACCATCTGATGACGAGGAAGATGAAAGTTACGAAGATGATAATTATACAGAAACAACAACGTCTGATGTATCTACTTCGTTGAATGAAAAAGACAATAAAGTACACCATGACGTTCAATTAGAAAATGTTGATGTTACCAAAATTACATCAAATATAAATGAAGAAACCCTCACAAATCCTGTCACAGAATCTGAAACATTAAATAAAAATAGAACATCAAATACAGATACTGTCGACGTATCATCGGCTAGCACTGCAACATTGTTACCGTCAATAACAATAATAGAATCAACTGACGTTGTAAATGAAAATAACAATCATGAGCTTGATATATTCAATTCTACTACGGAGACTTTACATGAAATTATAGAGACAACGACTCCTTTATCGGAAGGAGAAACAACTACTGTAGAAGAAGAAACAACTTTTGTAACAGAGGAAACACCTACCATACAAGAGGAAACACCTCCCGTACAAGAGGAAACACCTCCTGTACAAGAGGAAATAACTCCCGTACAAGAGGAAATAACTCCCGTACAAGAAGAAACAACTCCTGTACAAGAAGAAACAACTCCCGTACAAGAAGAAACGACCCTTGTACAAGAAGAAGAAACTACTCCTATAAAAGAAGAAGAAATAAGTTCTTTACAGGAGGAAGACAAATTTTCTGTACAAAGAAATGGTGGAATGACAGAAGCTACCCTTTTTGATAAGCTAAATACATTTATTTCAACTGAAAAAACAAGTACCACTACTGTATTTGAAGAATCGATAGAACAAAGTACCATAGTACCAGATGTAACAGAACAATCAGTGCCAACTATTTCAGAAACAATAAAAACTAATATAGAAAGAAATTCTGAATCCTTATCAATAAGCAACGATATCAAAGATTTGGATACAATGAAAGATATTATTAATACTTCCATAAATGATTTGACAGATACCAGTCTAACTTCAAGCTCTAACGAAGAACAAAACGATGATGAAACGTTAGCAGTAAAACCTATACAGTCGTACAATGTATTTGAAACCCCTTCAATTCTTATTCCAATAAATACACCCGAAACAGTAATTGATATTACGTCCGGTTTGAAAACTTCTGATTTAAAAATATCCTTAACACCAAATTCCTCTATTGCTTTTAACTTCGATGATTCTTACATACCAAGCGTAATTCCTCTTAATGCAGAGTATACCATATCAAATACTCCAGAAATTCGAATTAAAACAACAAATGTTTTAACTTTCAATCTTACAACAACTATTCCTTCGCCCACGCCAGAAGATATCGAGGCTGGTTTGGCTGATGATCTTTATCTATCATTATCGCGCCCTGATTTCTCCGAAATCGTAACATCCAAATCAGAATCAATTGATATAGAATCCAAATCAACATCATCCCAATATATCCCGTTAGAACCTAGTACAAGCATTTACTACACAGAGACAATAGTAACATCAACACGATTGAGAACCTATACATACATAGTAACAAAACTGAATGGACTCGAAACGCAAGTGACATCTTCTACGACCATTAGACCGAGAGTGACGACACTCACTTTGACGGTGCCCATCACGGTGACTGTCACTCCCACCATGGAGTCAACAGTCAACACATATTCATCTATATGTAATGCAGTATCTGTTTTTGGTGAGTAGTTCATTTTTAACTCATGAATTTTTCATTTCAAATTATTTTAATGACATAGATTTATAATTAATTTAATTGACAATATTTTACGTAATGGTCATTGCGAGTGAGACTTTTGACGTAAACAGAAATATCAGTATGTCTACGTGTAATACATCTCACGTAACTGATTTTTTAAATCGAATTATTTCCTTCGTACACACACGCACACAAATATCGTAATTATGTAAAAAATGTACATATTGTAAATGATAAAGAATTTTGTACATATTTATTATACTATTTTCATTGTTAATATTAGTATACTTGTCTTTTGATGTAGAAGATTATACTTATATTTGAAAAATACTTCTAATTCGCAACTAACAATTTTTTTACAACAAACATTTTTATATTGAATATAATATTGGTATTACATATATTTGTTATATTATAGGTATTGGGATATTTAATTAAGATGTACATATATGTAATTATTTTAATATGTAAAGTAGTTTACATTTAACTTCATATATTACTTGATCTCTGTCTCTCCCTCTCTCTCTCTTTTTCTATCTCTATCTCTATCTATCTATTTATTTTTTACTTTTCGACTAATATTTATAAGTGGGCATATTCTGAATAAGAAGAGTGCAATTTGTATCGTAAAAATTAATATTTATTTGAATTACTTAATGTTAATAGGAGAAGATAAATCAAGAGAAGAGGAAGAGGGAAGAAAACTTAATCTAGCAACACGTGTCATGTCTAATGGAGTAGAAGTTATTGTAGCAGGACCAACTCCAGCTTTGAGATGGGAAAATTCAAATCCTCAACCAACCTTGACATTATCAGATACAGTAGTTATGTTATTGCCACAAGAAAAGTCTAACGACTTTGTTACGAAAACATGTACTACTACACTCACGTATTTTGGAACAATTAATAACAGTGGAAACTCTGTTATTCCTACAGAGGTATATAATACATTTATTAGGAAATTAATTAACATGAAATTCTTTAATTACAAATATAAGGTATCAACATTTTTTTTTTAAGGCTGTACATAATACAGCTACGGAAGAACGTCACAAGAAACCTGGATCAGAAACAGCAACTGATGTCTTAGAACCATCCCCAACATTACGTACGGGAGTGCACAAAACGACATATACGTATTTAACCGTAGACACAAATCATGCTAATATGGAAGATTCACTGATCACTAATACAAAAGTTGTAACAAATAAAATCACAACGCCTCAAGACTATTTACATATGATGTTGGAACCCTCAGAAGTATCACATCCAGAAACAAATACGTATTTAAGTACGAGAATATTGGAAAAAACTTATATGGAAGATGGTCATACTAAAGTGAAAACAAGTGATACAATTACTCAGGTTAGATTTTGAAATTTATAACTTTTTGTTATGTTAAATCTGTTCTTTAATATATAAGAGATATTTTATTTCTTTTCCTTCAGTTAATAGCAACTGAATCTGGACCACCACCTAAGCCTACCAGTGTCATTACTACTTTAACAGCTTTAGATAGTACTGAAGAATCTATGACTGATATAATGAAGACTTATTATATCACATATACATACTATAATACATTGTTTGAGAAAGGTACATCTTTTATACGTACAAATGTTGCAACTTCAACAAATGTTGTTTTAGAAAAAATTCCTATAAAAGATACATCTACGACAAAAATCACACCAATCAGTTCTACACCCGAACCTATCCAAATTTTTGCTACCAAAACGTATCTTACGACGTTTACTTACTTCACAACACTTTTACAGGTACAGTATATTATATTAATTATAATTATACTGAGCGGGGGGTAATTCAAACATGATTTTACGTCACAGTAATTTTGTTCATAGGCTGGGCCTGATGGTGAAACATCAACAACCATATCATCTCGTTCTCACATTATAGAGAATGTGGTAACAGAATCAATAGCACCAAGTTTACTCGACGCTGGTTACATGAATGCTTTACTCACGACAGCGTATCATTCTGATCCAGTAAAGAATGTGGTTACTGGTTCAACAATTATTTTCTTTGATGAGGAAGATCAGATTGATCCAACTGCATCTAGCAGCTTAGTAGAATCTACTACATCTCTTGGAACAGAAAAAGATGAAAAATCTTCTGAGAATTTATCATTGAACGTATTAGCTAGTGTATCTTCAGATTCAGCAGAATCAACTATCAATCGCATTGACTATGTAAATAATCAGGTAAATAATTTTTTTGTTTATTTAACAACACTAACAAGTTATTTAAATAAAGATACGTCCAATTTGAATATTAACAAAGGCGTTTGTTATTTATTATATTATTTTGTTAATTTAGGATAATAATAATATTACAACGTTGTTGAATAATACTACTGAACATAAACAACCTTCAACCCAAGAAGGAGGTGACATTCAACTGAGCAATCTTCTACATCTAGGATCTTTAGGGATTAATGGTCTATCTGCTTTGAAGCCTGTAATTACAGCAATGGCTGGTTTATTACAAGGAAAATCTGCAACTCGTAGAAACGATACAGAACCTTCATCAGTAAGTCAAGAAACTACTACACAAAGATCACCTATCTACATTCCAGTAGCAGAATTTGCTGATGATGACATTGAAGCTGCCGAAAGTCAGAATATAGGTAATATTTTGGAAAAATATAAGTTACGCATACATTGCTGCTCATTTTTATTGAAAATAATAAATTTATCATTTATAATGTAATTATATAATTTAGCTACTCATTTGGTCAATCCTAAGCACAATCACATAGCTGAAACAAGACACAAAGTTACCAGTAGTTTAGCCGATGGAATACCTATTTCACCAGGTGAAGTTATAACAGCTAATAGCGATGTCATTATTGGGAAACCTGGCAAAATGGCACCAAGACCACCTCAAAATTTTGTTAATGAAGATGAACATATTGGAATGAAACCACCACCATTACCAGTACCAAATATTCCTGTCCATCCAGTTTTAGAAATTCTTCAAAACAATCGTGAAGATTTTCAAGAACAACATCCTCCTAAAATTTATAAAGAACAACTACAAATTATACCATCTCATAGGATTTATGAAGAACATTTAAAAATCCCACTTTCTATGTCACTAAATGCAAAACTTCAAGTAGTTCCAACACAACCTCAGAAATTGCATCCTGTTGAGTCTGTTCAGACAAATAAGATTGAATTAAAACATGAATACATACAGCATGATCCTTTATTGAAACCACCTGATAAGCCAAGTATAGATAAACATGTAAACAAGCAGCCCGAATGGAGTACAGATGGGTCTAGGGGACCATGGGGAGCAACAAATCCATTAAAACCACCTGCATTGCCAGTTACATTTGGCGACGTATGTATTATTTATTTTATCATATTACTTTGTCAATATATTATATTATATCTCTCATTAATTTAATTATTATTATATTGTGGAATTACTTCACGCGTATAATTTATTTTTTGTTTCAGCTTTATTCAGAGAATTCTGCAAATGATAAATCTTGGTCTACATCGTTTAAACAACAAAAGAATCCAAATTGGGCACAAAAAGATTCTTTTCTCCCTGATGGTTCACCTAAAATTCAAACGTCAGAAACACAATCATCTCCATCCGAACCGATCGTTCACCAAGTCCCACATATTATTGATAGATCAACAGGTCAATCTTTACTTGTTAATATTCAACCTAGTCAAGTAGCAAATGTTATGATTCCTCAAGATGGGACACAGGCTTTAATATTTGGAGATACAGGAGAACGTCACATAAGTGGCCAATATTTCGACGATCCATCGCCATATCCAGAACCTGAAACTGGTCCTGGATTTGTTGGAATCCAAAAGGTATATTTTTTTTATTGATAAAATAATTATGTCAAATATTAATCTCTTTGATTCTAGGCAGAGGATCTATTTCAAAATTTACATGGGAAAGATCCACTGAATTATATGGTTCCGCCATCACCGCCAAATAATTTCAAATCAGCTATACAAAAAACAGATTCCTCCAACAGACAACACATTATCAGGCTGCCGCAAGTTCGTTTCGATCATATTAAACCACCGAATAAGCTAGAACCACCTTTTACCAGACCTGATAGGAGACCAGCAGAAATTCATGTTTTGAAACAAACCCATCAAAGTAGCATAACAAATGGCCAAGGCTTCGTTCACAGTGAAATTTTAGTTCATCATAGACCAGAAACTTTAAACTTACAATTGGTTTCACATCCACCAATTCTGTCTAATGATCATCCCACTAATTCATTCTCTTCTAATGGACAATTTGTCAACAATCAAAAACCTATAAATACTTTACCAACTGTTCCATCTAGACGAGCAGAATCAACTGGCCCAACTGAAATACCACATATATTTATGTATCACAATAAACCAGATTCAGGAAACGAAGTTATTTCGAACACTAATTGGAAATTAAACAAAAAACCACCAAGGATTACTCTGAACAATCGCTTAAGACCTCAATCCGTATTAAGACCAACCATTCATAGACCCCACAACAGCAGGCCGCATATTGAAAAACCTATGAATTCTCTTACCACAAAAACAACATATCCTATGTCTCCAAAATTACCGTTCAAATCACATAATACTGCTCTGTTACCTCATCAAATTTCATCGAATACATATTTACAATACGAGCTTGCAAACAAGTTAGTATCAACAGGAATGAAAAATATGAACAATGTAACAAATCAAGGAATTACTCATAATTACCAAGTAAGTTATAAATATTTTATAAAATTTATTAATATAAACAAGAAAATTTATACAAATCTTATTGAAATAATACATTTATTTATTATGTACAGGTAAACTTTCAAGATCGATTACCTCAAAGTAATTCGGAAAAAACGAATTTGCCAAACTCCTACACGGAAGAATCTATTACTAAATGGAATAATGATCAGGTGCCCACTGGAGCTATAGAATATCATAATCCTTCGTATTTCAAAATAAAATCGGGAAATACTGAATATCATTCTCCGATGATAATTACTAATTCCAAGAATCACACTATTGATTCTAATATACAAAACCAATCAAGGCCATTAGATTCTGAGATTGCTGAATCAGAACATATAAAATCACATCAAAATATTGATTCAAGCGAAATTAATTATGAAAAGAAACAAAATGTGGTAATAAACAATACAGATTCTGTAAACAATTATGGAATAATTAATGCAGGTAATATTCCTCATGGTAAACCATCAATTACTGGACAAGATTTTACGTACAATCAAAATGAAAATACACCCATTTTATATGCAGGTGAACCTTTCAAATTAAAAAATAATAGCTTTAGCTCGCAAAATGAAACCTTCTACGATACGAAACCATTTGAGGTACCTGTTGCAAACAGCAAGCCACATAAAATGTATGATAGCAATGCTGATCATGATAAAAATCATGAATATAGAGAAAAAGAAAGTGAATTTGCTTATGATACAGTTCAAGAATCTTCTTCTATTTATCAGAATAATCAAAAACCTTTGATGCATCATAACGAAAATGTGCAATCATCGACGTTACGATACTCTTATGGACAAGATGACAACATAGATCTCAAGCCACCTGCCATTGTTCCACAATTCAGACCTGTTACTGACCATGAATCAGCCGAATTTTATTCTAAACCACATATTATTGTTACTCCTGAGACAAGACCTACTCGTATACCAGCTGTAGAAATAATAACAAAACCAAATGATATGTTAAATGTTGAACAAAAGAGTAATGTTAGTCATATTAATAATTTTAATACAAACAATTTTGATAGTTTCACGAATCAAAATTCACATAAGGAATATAAAATAGGCCAACAACATCAAAGTATCTCAGAAGATATGGTTCAAAAACAATATGCTAGGCCTAGTTGGAATATTGGCACTTTAGATACTAACATATATATAACACAAAAGAAGTCAGAAATAAAACAGAATGAGCTTATGAATTATACGATTCCTGTTTCCAGTGATAATAAAGTTTATCCAAGAATACAATCATTGGAAACAAAAACGAATCGTCCATCACATTTTCTTGAACAAGGATTAATCACTGGTGTACATCCTGAATATCCACATATTATAACAAAACCGAAACCACAGGTTCCAGACCCTGTTATTATCTCGAGTACTGGAATGAAATCAGATTCGCATATCAAATCAAACGTTCAATTCTCCATGCCAGTTGAGATTACTGACAATGAACAAGACGACAGTAAGACCCAAACAGAAAGACCTCCTAGCATGTTAATAATAAAGACTAATTCATTGAAAAATAAAAATCAAGATAAAGAGATACTTGAAACTGCTTATCAAACTAATTTTGCTTCATTAGATTCAGTAATTGGTAGTTCTGAAAATCAGAAAATGAAAACTAACTTGCACAATATGAGCACTCACAACAATGTTCCAAATATGTTGTACAATATAAAAGAACCTAAAGTTCCCTCGAGAGATATGATGCCACCACCTTTGAGTTCTGTTTCGTCAAAATTAGAAGAAGAACAACAAAAATTGAAACCTCCACCTCCACCATCTAATGAGGTTGTTGGTTTATCACCTCCACCATTGGAAATTACAAACACGTACAGACCATTGCAACATAGACCAGATCCAATTGTTATTAATGAACCAGATTTAATATTATCTTCGAAATATATTCCATTACAGGAATTAACGAAAACAATAGTTCCGCAGCCTAGTATAAAGTCTTCAAATCTTAGAACGACTGTAACCAAATTATATCTTGCTGAACAACTTTCTGAAGTAAATATATTATTATTTATACAATATATAAATAATAAAAAATATTGTTATTAATTATTTTGTCACTCTATTATTTTTTTCAGAGAATGGTACCATCTCTTCCAGCATTACAAACAAAATCTTTCGAAATAAGTACAACAAAAATAGGTGTTTTGCCATTTGGATCAACCCAAAAGCCAACTGCAAGTATATCTAATGCTTACATCAACCAATATATGAAATCAAAATACGCAACAACACAAAATACGATCAAAACGTCCATTATTAGTACGCCAATCATACGTTCTTCTATTTCAACTAAAGGAATAGAACATTCCAGCGGGCCTAGGTAATCAAAATTACAACAAAAATATTTGATAATTTATTTAAATACTTCAAAATAAATAACGAGTATTTAATATTACGAATAATTTCAGAGCATCAGTGCATCAAACTGCTATCACCAAAACAAATACAGTTACTTCGACGCAAATGAAATCATTTGGTGATCAGATAAAATCAAGCAAACCGTCATTAAAACCTGATATTAAACCAACAAAATCATTAACGTTTGAAATGTCACATACTCCTGTTAAATTGGCAGAGCAACCTATATTTTTACAATCAAGTCAAGATTTTATTTTGTCATCTGTTAACACAGAACCTACAGAATCTCTTACATTTATTGTAAACACTGACGGAATTAAAGAATCCAATAAACCGAATCATGAAATAAATAAAACATATAAACAAATGAATACTACAAAAGCAGACCAAATACTTGTAGCCGTGACACAAACAGATAAATCATTAAGAAGTACTGATTCATTTTCAAAAGAGTCTGTAGGTTTTGAAATAAATGAGACAACTACTGAAACTATGAAATCTAACGTAGGAACAGTGATATATGAAAATACCTCTGACACAAATATTGGATTAAAACCCAAAGAGGTAATGTAAACATTTACTGATCACATCTCAAGCATTTCATATTAAATATCTATTTTACATATTAATATTACATGTATATTTTAGATCGTACGGATTAAAATGTCAACGTTGACAAAAATAGAAACATTTGCAGTAGGATTACCACCAACAACAAGAACATTTTTGCTTACACATACGATGACTTCGACTACTGTAGAAACAGTAACAGAAACTTTACACCATCCAACCAATACACTTGCTACTGTGACGTCAAGTATTTTACAATCTGTAGTAACGCGAGTACCATCAATTTATGAAAATAGTATCGATAATGATTCGATCTTTGTGGTAATGAGTGATCAAAAGCCACCTGAGCCTGGTGCTGAAGAGGTATGATAATTGAACATAAAAAAAACCTATATAAATAAATATAAAAATAAATATAGTAAAAATATAATGAGTAAAAGTAAAAGGAAATAACTATAAAAGTTAAATATATTGATGAAGAAATATGAATATCTATTCACAAATTGTTTATATATAGGTAGAAGCAGAATATGGCGAAGAAGATATTTCACGGGATGAACAAAGCCCTACAAACAATGAGATCCATAGGGTTTTAGCTGGAGGTATTTTAGGTGCACCTGTAGTACCTATTCGACCTACTAATCAATGTACACCAGAATGTAAAGGATCTAAAGCAGAAACATGTGTTGAAGTAGAAAATGAAATGAGATGCGTCTGTCGACCAGGATTTGCAAGAATGTTCCCTGATCGGCCTTGTAAACGTAAATATTTTTCTTCTGTCAACTATAACAAAACTATAATTATATAAACATTAAATTTTATCCTGTTTTAGCAACCTATACGTATACCCTCTATGTTGGACTGGATCGTATTGGACATGAATCTGTAACTTATCAAGAGGGTTTGAACGATTCTTCATCTCTAATATATAGAAGACTTGCTGGATCAGTAAAAGATGCTCTAGATAGAACATTAATGCAAAGTGATCTTAGAGATATCTATAGAGCTCTAAAGATTTCGAAATTTACTTCGGATCCAATAAAAGTAGTATTTTATGTACAGCTCAGTGACAATGCTAATGAAACAAGATTAAAGGAAGTTTTTCGAAAATATTTAGTTGGAAGTAATTATAGTTTGGGTGGTACTGAAGTTTATGCTTCGAAAAATCTTGAATTGGTAAATATAATTCTGTATTACTATATTACATATATCTATAATGATTTCTAACTAACTTTATTAACGTTACAATTTCATAAATTATATTTAGATTAATGCATCAGACTTTGATGAGTGTTCTAATGAAGAGGATGGTCCTCATCATGATTGTTCACCAAATGCAGCTTGTTTTAATTTACGAGGATCTTATCAGTGCTCTTGTAAAGAAGGTTGGGCAGATTTATCGGAGAATCCTGCATATCCTGGAAGAATATGTTCACAAGCACCGATAGGTTGTGCAGGATGCAATAATAAAGGGCATTGTATGACTAATATTCATGGTCATGAAATTTGCGAATGTTTCCCATGGTATAGTGGTCAACGATGTCAAGTTAATTTGAAAGGTTAATACTTGATCTATTATAAATTATTATAAATATAATATATATAGAGATATCGCGCGATAATTTTCATTGTCTTTTTTTTCATTTTTTAGTGATGTTGATAGCTCTGGTAACAACAGGTGCCATCTTGTTGGGTTTGCTAGCTGTATGTGTTGGCTTAGCATGCTTTAGACAACCCGTTCATAACAAGCATACTTCTGGAGATACTCGTGCAATGATTTCTGGTGCAGGTGGTGACACTAGCAGTGAAGATAGTGTCGGAGATGTAACTATTCCTTATCACGTTCCACATGTTTTACCACCACCACCACAAATGATAGCACCATTACCTCCGATGAAGAGGCCAATCAGAAAAATCAGTGAAAAATTACATGACCCGCCAAGAAAGCCTATTGTGGCTGTACCAGGTTTGATACATTATCAATGTTGGATATATTCTTTATTATTGATGCTTAATTACACATTTAATCTTTCGTATACAGAAATGACTAATGATGAACAAAGAGATCGCTCCTTAACTGTTATGATTCCTCGTGCTAAATATCGATCAGCTCCTCAATCACCGCAAAATTATAAAACTACTCTGAGCACATTTGTAACTGATGAAAATAAACTCATAAACTACCTTGACAATGGTTCTCAACATCCAGGAAATCGAAAGCAAAGTATATCAAGTACGAAAGATTGTAAGGAATCTGATTTACAAGCTGCAAGAGCACCTGCAGTGTCAACTGGTGCACTTGTCAGTGCCGGATTCCAGGTACTCATTACATTGCACAAAATATAAATAGAGAAAGAGAGAATAAGTATTTAGGAATCTAAAATAATAATTTAACTTTGTATTTTACAGGTATCAGCAACTGTAACAAGAATGATAGATGCAGAATCAACCTTAGCTCGATCATGCGGAGAAACTACTATAGAACCACCGACAAAAGTTCTCAAAAACTGTGACAGTCAAGGCGATCTTACGTCTACTTTAGCCCGTTCCTGTGGTGAAACAACAATTCAAACGCAAACAAAACTACTTAGACAAGATTTAGGTGAAGCAGGATCTATTTTGGCAAGGTCTTGCGAAGAAACAACTATTCAGCCATTTACAAAAATAGCAGCAACTCGAACAAATAGTATTAAAGATACTAGGAACAACAAAAATTCGAGAGATAATGGTAGCGAAGGACACACGATGGCTGAGCGAGATTTGGGTAGTACTTTAAGACTTCCAGCTCACCATCCACCACTTTATAGCCCAGACAGAGTATGATAACAATTTGTCTATCAGTTATAGAAATGAAATACATTGTTTTTATATTTATTTCAAATGATTCGAAATTTTCTAGCGTATAAATACCTTTCTTTTTATCTTGCAGGTTAGTGATAGAGAATCTAATTTTGATTCTCTTTAAATGAACAAGAGAGTATAAGTATAATAATAAATGAGGATTAATCGAAAAATAATTATATTAAAGACACAGCCGCTGGACGGTGGTCTTTGCAGCTGGTTCAGTTGTAAATACTGAAATTCGATGTTGCCAAATATATAACAACATTTAAGAAATACTTTTCACATGTTCAAATGATAAAATGAAGAAAAACGAGAAAGAAAGTGGTAAGACCAAAAAGGACATTTTTTTTAAACAAGACTATTTCTAGGCTTTATCTTTTTCTTCATAAAAAAAGATACCAGGAAAATTGTTTTATTGTAAATCCTTAGAAAATGTTAAATATCATGGATGCAAACAAATTGACTAATATCTTGAAAAATATTATTTATTTCTATACTTGTGTGTGCATTTATAAAGATATATTATAATATCTATATATCTGCATAATATTTGTAAGAACAGTTTGAGATGTTGAACTTCAAATAACAATTTCAATATGAGCTCAAAATGTTAAGAAAATAAGGATAAAAATGGAAGTTTTAAAATAATGAATTTAATCCTTCTCCAATTTATACTCCTTCCTTCAGACATATTTTGACTTATTGTTAATGAAACTAAAAATAATGAAATGAGATGTCGATAATGACATAGCCATGAAATTCGTTCCTTTTTAAATAATTTTAGATCAGTATACAAAACCTACAAAAATTTGAGTAAATATCGAAATAATTATTATTATATATAAAAACACAAAATTAATATTAAAATTGTATAATTTAAATTTTACTAGAATGTAAACAGATTTTAATTATCTTAATTTATCTTAGCAGATGCAACCCAGAAATTGATTTTCTTATTTCATATCTCCAATTATTTTTTATCTAAATGATATATTTCTTTAAAAACAGGAAAATACTCAAATATAACTCTAACGAAGGTTCTAATCTAACAAATAAATTTTTATTATTAACACAAAGATACATAATATAGAGATTAAGTTTATATTTAAACAAACGAAAAAATTAACCCGATTTTTCCGGGTAATACAAATGTAGCGGGTTGGAAACCGAGATACTCGTACCTCTTTTATTAATGAACTTTTATTTTTATACGTCTAAATAAACTCTTACACTTATACATACGCGCGAGCACACGAGAACAAAAACACACGCGTATAAAAATATGCATTATATAGATGTATTCTGTTGTACATATTGTTTCTCCCAAAAATTCTATACGAAACTACTGTAATTACCTACTTGTACGTTATAATAAAAATTAAAAATACAATGACTTTGAATGTTACCAATATTTTTGTCTATCATAAACTTAATATAACGGACACGTATTTTAAGGCGACTCGCGTGTCTATCTTTTGAGCGATAGATGCATGGATATAGTAGACTAAACAGCATTACGTTCTACATAATTTACAAAAATTAGCGAAGTGGGATATTCGTATTTATGTTTTTGCAGATGCTAGTATTGGTTACATACAAATTATTTTGCTATTTGGTTTTGGAGAAATTAGTTAGACTTTATCTCCCAATAAGTACAGGAACAATTTTATAACTGTACCAAAACTTGTTACAATCGGATTCTGAAGCTACAGGATACTATATTTTGACCGACCGTTAATTTGCAAGTATTCCTTTTGCATATAAAATACTAAATAAATGGAATTATTCAAACTAACAGGAAATTTATTTTAAATGAAGTAAAAGAATAAAATCATGGCCTACAGATGCAAAAACATATTACTATTGGTTTAAAAAGCCAAATGTCGTAATAAATTACAGTAAATATATGCGCATGATTGATAAATCAGACGAGTATACGGCTACATAATATCTTATGTAGTAAAATGATTACGAAACGTCTTTCTTTGAGGCTTGGAAATGTCAATTATAAATTCTTACTTATTATATAATGCAAATCATGAGATTAGAATAATTGCTAAACAGAACTTACAGCAACCTTGTCTCTAACCTTCACTAATGTACTTTTTAGTAACTATAAAACTGTTCTTTTTTAAAATCAATATATAGAATAATTTTAAAACATCTGCTCAACTAAATTTTTAACAATGGAAAGGTTGAAAGGTATGGGCATTCAAAAATAGGTAGTCAAAGTTGATCGCTGAACTATACTTCTGACGGTACATGAGAAACATAAAAAATATGAGAAATACTTAGAATTAAGTTTTAAAAATTTGGTGACATATTCTTAAGAAGAAATTATGAAAGAATTATGAAAGAATTATGAAAGAAAAAAGAAATGATTTTTTTTTTAATTTTACACATATCTCACCCCTTAATTAACTGGAGATTTTCGTGACGCTAATTCAAAGAATACTTTATTAATAGCAGAAAGATGGAATAGCCCTTTTAGACATTATTCAGTGAGATAATACGGTCGAACGAGTAAAGACTGTGTGATATTTTCCAATCTGAAAATCAAAGTTTGAACAAAAGAATCAAGGTACTATTGTAGGATTTGATTTATTAAAATATAAAATATAAGTACAAATTTGAATAAAAAGCTTCACTAATTGATATAATTCTGATAATAATTTATACTACTCACTAACCCACGCTACTTATAGGCCAGTCAACAAGATGCAAACCGGAACTTTTTTAGATAATAGTGTGCTTTTTTGATATAATGATAATTCGACAACGCTAAATCGAATGGTGCTAATTTTTTGCAATTGGATCACGAGATTTTTGAGAAAAAGAGTAAAAAAGGATAAAAAATAACCATATCTTAGAATCTAGGCATTTAATCGAAAAAAGTTTCAAACAAAAGTTGTAGAGAATTTAAAAATACATAAAAAATGTTCTAAGGTGTATCTTCGTATTTGCAAAAATAAGCGAGAAAATGAAAGTGAAAGGTAATTGTAAGAGGGATGGCAAGCCCCGCCTCTCTGTCTGTCTTTACACGCGAGCGGGCAAATTTTTGTGAGGAAAAAAATTTATATCAATTAATTATACCAATTAATTTTATATGTCGAGACAAAAAATTAATTCATTATTTTTACTCTCGACTATATAAATATTAGTTTCTGTTAAAATGAATTATTGCCTTTCTTTTATTTAAGATTCACTAATTTGGACAATAAATATAAAAACGTCGTGCCATAAGCATCAAGATTCGATTTAAAAATGCCGTGCTTATACGCCGATATATATATATATAGATATAAGATGTGTATCTATATATGAGAATTTTGAATACGTGCATTTTTAACAATTTGAAAGTTATATTTTTAATATGAGTATTATATTTTTTAAATTTGTCTGCTGTCTGCTTAATTTACACTCATAATTTTCTAAACATTTTATATTAACATTGAATACTGAGTGTTTATTATAATTTTTTAAATTTCATTATTTGTTATTTTGTTTTGTTACGCCAGAGAAGTATAACTTCTTACGTGCGTATAAAAATACACACACCCGTGTTTTTTTTTATTTGTTGCGATTGTTGAGATAGAAGCTTTATTTGTTGTAGGTAGAATCATAATGGTTATTAATTCTGTATTTTTAATTTAAATGATCAACAAGTTTTTAATGTCAGAGATTGCAGAACAGATTATTTACATTCGTTGATAGAGTTTCCAGCGCTTGAATTATATCTGCATATGTCCTATTACTAATTTTCGGGTTCAACTGCGACCTCTCGAGAGAATTGTTGCTGTATTTTTTGCTAAAAAAAAAGTAAAGTGTAGGAAAAAGTAGTTTATTTGTTCATTTAAAATAGAATTGACGAACATGGAAGATATGACAAGAATTACCGGTGTTTCTTTATAGTCTATTAACTCAAAGATAAAAAATCACAGTTCTTTCTCAACTTTTAATAAAGACAAAAGAAAAAAATTACACTAGTTTACAAAATTTAACTTTTTATCCATTGACGTGAATTTTATGGTTGATAATGTTGACTTATGACCTGTTTTTGTCAAATCTAATCTCAACAACTTTTGTACAGCTCGAGTTATTTTGTTTTTGATTTGTATCATTTATGCGTATTTATTAGTCGATAACGTATGTAAAACTGTACTGTTTTCTTTTTTTTTTTATGATCAGAAAACGCTTCCTCTATAGTCATTTGGACAAGTTTCCGGAAAATTTAAGAGATATGAGTGAAGAGCAGGGAGAGCGTATGCATTAGGATTTACGCGTTATGGAAGAACGTTATCAGGGTTTTTGGGATACAAATATGATGTCTGACTATCGCTGGTCTCTGATACGCCATTTTCTTAAGTCTACACATAAGAAAAGAGCTTTTAAGCGAAGGTTTTTAAAAACTCACACATACACACAATGATTATTTTAATTTTTTAATCAATTTTGTCTTACAATTAGTAAATACATGCTTTTTCTTGTTTTAAACATACATAGCTGAAACTCAAAAAGTAGAACTGATAAAAAAATTCTACTTTTATATTTGAAATATGTATAACATAATATGTAGTCAGTAACAGCTAAAATTTTTGCCGTCACGTGTGAATATCGAGAGTTGTATATTTGGTGGAAGTGAAAATAGGATTATAATCACAAATAAATCAAATATTTTGAAGCCCAGTCAGTACTAAAGAGTACACTTTATTTGGCTTGTCAGGGAAAAGCTTTGCCGCATAAAAACCCTGGTTGAATTATACACGATGATCCTTACAACGGCGATTAATGTTTTACAGCTAGCTTGCCTATCGGCAACTATCATGTGATAAGATGCTTATGCAAAAGGCAGAATAAATTCTGACCACGTGTAGGACTGCCTTTGTCCTTTGTCGCTCGCAGTTCTTCGATGAAGTAATTCCTCGCAAGTTTCGTGGTAGAATAGGACAAGGCGCGAGAAAACGCAGGCTTTATAGGAAAGGGCGATGCAACGTGCGGACCAATTACCGAAAAGATAAATAACGTAGCTGTCGATGCATATGATTGGCCTAATAAATGTGGTAGGAGAGCGCATGTTAGAAGAAGGAATGATCCCTTACAAACGATCTTGGCGCTCTTTTGGTTTTACCGCTAAACTACGATACTTCCCGACATGTCTCGACGCTCGTCCCCGCTTACTCGTTTGCGTAGGATATGCAACACTAGTGTTATTTAATGCAAATAGATAGCAGATGTAGAACAAATCAGCAATTTTAATGAGCTACAGTTATAGAAAATCAATGGGTTGTTATTAAAATGATCCTATTGCTGCGTTGGATTTCAATTTTCTATATTCCAGTATTATTATGGCTCACAATCTATGCTATACAACTTTATTAACTCTTGATAAACGGAACAAAAATACAGACAAAAAACAGATGACAAAATATTAGAGATATCCATAAGTAATCAATTATTAACAAAAAATTTGTTTTGCCTTTAGTTCTCTACCGATAGTTAAAGGGGAAACACGTATTCCCTTACAATTT